ATGGATGTTAAAATTTAATGTGTAATTATAAAGCAATGAAAATGGTATTTTTGTAATTATGCTTATAGGTTATTATAGTAATTTCAATCAATTATAATATAAGAGGTATTTGTATAATTATGATAGAAAAGACACTATATAAAGCAATAAAAAGTTTTTTTTTATATAATTATGTTTAGCAAGTATTATAATAATTTTATCCAAGTACAATATGTGGGGTATTTTCCTAATTATAGTAAGAGAAATATTATTAGTGTGACATACTATTAGTATTAAGTGAATCTTACGAAAAAAAAATTAAATCTAAAAATTTTTACTAAATAATTTTTAAAAATTTAAATACGAAAATAGTTAAAAAAGATTAAAAAAAAGGAAAAACAAAAAACAATTTGATACAAGTAGGTTTCAAATATTAATTTTTTTTCAAATATACAATTTTATAATTTTTAAAAGTATTTATTAAATAATTTTTAAAAAAAAGTAAAGAAACAAAAAAAAAAGTAAAGCATTAAAAATGTTATGCAATAACCAAAAGAAACAAAACTGTAAATTGCACATCATTCAAGTGCATCCTAGACTAATAAATGAAACCTTAATTACTTTTTTAATTCCAAAAAAAAAGAAAAATTGAAAATGTAAAAAAAAAGTACAAAAAAAGGTTTAGTATAAGTGGGTTCTGCATATAAAAAATACGATCTTTACAAATACTAGAAAACTATTTGGCTACGCCTAAGTTACAAATTTTTTTTTATTTTAATGAAATATAAATTAAATAATTTTTTATTTAATAATTAAAAATAAAATTTTTTAGTATTTTGTTTTTTTTTTTTTTTGAAAATACAAATGATGGTAAGAAAACAATTCTTTAATTATGGTTGCATGAGCATTATAGTGACTATAGCCAATTATAGTAAAATAAGTATTTTAATAATTATGTTAAGAGAGTCATTATAGTAATTTTAGTTAATATTAGAATGAAGGTCATTACAGCTGATTTGGATATGTGTCATTCAATTTTTAAGCAATTAGAAAGGCATAATAATCATTTCCAAAAGGGATAACTTTCATATAATTGTATAGAAGTTAAAATTTAATACGTAAATATGAAGCAATAAAAAAAGTACTTTCGTAATTATGGAAAGAGGATATTATAGTAATTTTGACAAATTAAAATATGAAAAATATTTTCATAATTATTGTAAAAGGGGTGTTATAGTAATTTTGACAAATAAAGGTAAGACGACATTTCTATAATTATGATTATAAATACATTATATTAATTTTGGCCAATTATAGTAAGAGGTATATTTTAGTAAATATAATAAGAGTGGTATTATAGTAATTTTAGTTAAACATAGAAAGAGGGGCATTACAATCAAATTGGACATATGTAATTCAAAATCTCAGATAATTAAAAAGGTATTATAATTATTTCTAAAGAGATTAATTTCATATTATTGTACGAATGTTAAAATTTAATGCATAATTATAAAGCATGTAAAAAGGTATTTTTGTAATTATGCTGAAAAAGTAATATAGTAATTTTGGTCAATTATGATACGAGGAGTTTTATCGTAATTATAGTAGGAAAGGCATCATATGAAGCAATTAAAATGACAAATTTTGTAATTCTGGTTAAAAGGTATTATAGTAATTTAAGCCAATAATAATATATGGTGTATTTGTATAAAAGAAAAAATTCCTAAAAGTGTCAGTACTGTTAGAAAAAATAAATATGAAAATAGAAATAATAAAAAAAATTTTGGTTTTGAAGTGTAAAAAACACTTTCTTAAAAGCAATTTAGGATACAATAAAGTCTCAAAACTCTCCAAGCAAAAATAGTGAAAATAGTTATACTAAAAGACCTATTTATAATGAATAAACATACATACACTTCTATTCAAATGATTATGACTTTTTGTATAACCATGACCTTTATGAACGATAATTTATTTATTTTCAAATCAGTATGACCATTTGTTATATAATAATTGTTTATATTTAAACATAATTTTTATAATATAAATAAAATTAATATAAAAATTAATTTTATTCATCATTAATTAAATCTTTCCATCCAATGTAGGATGTACCACATTCTAAACCACAAACAATCTTCCACTAATTTGGAATGTTGGTGCTTAATCTTTAAACTTTCACACAAATAAATATTATGAATACAAAAAGGTATCTCTCGATTTAAACATTTAATTAGCACATATATCTAAAAAATTAAACGAAGTTAATAGTATCCATAGATTTAACCTCAACTCCTAATATTAGAACTAAAGATATAATACCAATAATACTTATTTATTCTTCTGTCAAAGGTTTATAAATGTTTTTGCACTATTATGGCCATATGCTTATCTTATTCATAAACATTTGCAAGAGAGATTCCAATTCTTCTTGTTAAAACTGTACCACTTCTATATTTATATAGGTAGAGTTTTCATTATGTCTACATTGCTTTAGACATTTAAATAATAAACTCTATTAAAAGTATAAAAACTCATCCTCCCCACATAATGGATCACACTAGGTTTTAAAATTTGAATAGATCTTACTAGTGTTTAACATACACATAATAATAACTTGTTTTTACCCATTAAACTTTGTAATTGGGGGTTTATAATTCAAAGTTGGGTTCCTATTATTATTGTCTAATAGTACGGGTTTAAATCCATTCTATTTGTAGTACTACTAATCAAATATCTTGAAATTCAATTTTTTTATGGTAATTACCCTTACTTGAAATTAATCTCTAATATAATCGCTTTAGGTTAATGTGCTTAAAATTTTCATTTTGTATATCATTTATATACTCTAGACATTGTCATCTCATTCTTGTCATTTTAAAAAATAAATGATATTTGTTGTGACCATAACTCTATACTCATTAATATAAAATTTCAACCATTCTATTTTTACACTTTTATCTACTTTACTACAATTATTCTTCTAGTACAATTAGATAAACTGAATAGATAGACCAAACCATTTTAATCCTTTTAAGATATATAAGGATTTTTTTAAAGATTTTACTTTAATAAGTGTATTAAACTTATTAGCTTGTATTATTTACTTATAAAATCATACTAAAATCTTACAACATTATGGTGATAATTTTATTTCTTTTTATTTTTATCATCTCCACCATCTCTATACATTCTATTATTAAAAAAAGTCTCATTCAGTTATTTAGATATTATATATATTTAATCAAGTTACCATTTCATTTATCTTTTCATTATTTGGTGGTTTTTTTTTAATTAAGAAGCTTCCAAATCCACCTTCAATGAAAGATAACTAACAAATATTCTATATTTTAATTTTTCTTCTCATACAAACTCCAAAACTTTTATTTAAACTCAATATGAGAGTATATATCAATAAAAATGATGTCAAATATAATCGCTCTCAATTTTTTTTTGTATACTCATGCTTTCTATAGTCTCATTTTGAGACTTTCATACCAACTCATGAAAATTTATGAATCTATTTCATCATTGATACCATTCACCAATTTATTACCAAGAGCAAAACCATGTCCACTACCTAAATGGATCAAATAGCATTCCTCTTGCTATTTAAATTTTTTTATATTCACAAAATCTTTGAATCACTAATAACTTTTAAAATAAATATAATTTATACTTTCATTATATCTCAAAACTAAAATCATGAGATGTAGAACATATATACAAGTCATAATTATTATCAAATAAAATTAAACAAATATAACTTTCATGCAAAAACCATTGAGAGAAACTATTTGTGTATTATTTATAAATAAATAATTTTCAAACTTATCAAAAGTATTATTCATTTAAGAGTCTTACCACTTTTTCTATGGATAATTCATTCAGTGATCAATTCCAAGGATTAAAGCTATTGCAAGCGAACATCATTATCAAATCCACACATTAAAAGATGGATGATTGGTACACATCCTTGCCATAAAATTATAAAAACCTATGGAGATTTGTGCATTTTCCTTTTTTAATTAATCTATGCACAATAACTCCTTATATCCTTGTAATTATTTATAATCATTGTTTGCATTAAAACAAACTTTTTTTAAATTGTTTTAATTGCAAACCATGTTATTTTCTTCTTTGCATTAGAAAATAAAACTTTCCAAATTCATAAACATGGCTAATAAGACATTGGTGGGTTGCCTTCAAATTATCATTAATTAAAAATAGCCTTTAATGTTATTAATGATGTGCCTTTTCCATTTAAACTTGCATATCACATTTAACCCAATTTGTTGGCCAAACTTTCAGCTTGAAATATTAACATAAAATTTCATAAATAAATCATGCCAATATATTCACCCTATTAATTTCATACTAATACTAGTCACAATTATGAAAACTTCATTTTTGTGAATCTTTTGGAATGCACAATTAATAAACTCCAAAAACTTAAGTAATATGAAAAGTAATCATGAAATTGGATTCACGCATCACAATCAAACAATGAATTAATGATATGTTAATTTTGAATAAAAAAAAAAACTTATTTGACATCAGGGTAAAATATTATTTCTCTTTGTCCATAATTATTTCAAAATTTTAAATTTTACCAATGCATTTCTAAATTTTTTTTCTTTTGCATTTTCATAAATACAAAATATAAAATTTTTTTCATAATTATCTTCAAATTGTTAAAAAAAATAATAATAAAATAAAAATTTTAACTTTAAAATGTAAAAAATATTTTTTAAAAAACAATTATACTTTTAGAATATAATAAACCTCAGATTTATTCAAACAAAAATAATAAAAATAATTATATAAAAAATTTATTTATAATAAATGAATGAATATAAATTTTTATTTAAATAATTATAATATTTATATATTTATAACATTTATAAAAAATATAAATAAAATAATCATGATTATTTATCATATAATAATTATTTTTAACCAAATATATTTATTTACAATATAAATAAAATTAATATAAAAATTAATTTTACTAGCTACGGTCAAATTAAATTATTATTCAGCTATTATTACATCGATGACTTTTTTTTAATAATCATAGAATCGAGATAGATAAAATAGCAGTACACTTCCACTAAAATTCATAAAGAAGTTTACCAAAGAGTTTCATGTGAGAGGTCTCTAATCGAGTAATCAGTGACAAGCTCCCATCACTAGTCGGACTTGGTAATACAAAAAGTTTTCCTTCTTGAACAACATTTGCTGGCCTCATATATATGGGGCGACCCCATCCGAAATCTGCATCATATATAGGCAACCACATCCAACTAATAACAGATAAGTTTGGGCATCGAAAAGTATGCGATCCTCGAACCAAAGTGTTTAGATCAGGCACCTTTTCTATGTAATCAATAGCTGATCTCAAATATTCATCGTTAACCTGCTTTAACAGTTCATGGATTCTCTTAACAGTGTTGGTAAAAGGTTCAGATAGGAGATCACCAGCTCGAGCAATTGCTGTAGCTTGAAAGGTTGCGTTGCCAAAGTAGCCTCGTGGGAGAGGAGGATTTAATCTAAATCGTCCATCAGTTGGAATGTATAGCTTAGTAGCTTGATCATTTGAGAGGCCCCTCGCTTTGCTTATACACCGCCATAAATGGGAAGTTAAGATACTATAAGTACTATATTTTATAGAGTCAGAATTTCCGATGTTTGGTTTAGCTTTCAGGATATTCAGTTGATCAACTGTGAGCTTAAAAAGGGAAACGATTGATGGCTTAAGATCGTTTGACTGAGATTCTGATGTTAAAATTGAGTGGCCTGTAGTCATTATTTTAGGAGGTGGGTCATATTCAACATGGTGAAATGTAGGAGTTGGTGAGACACGAGCACGAAGAAGAGTTCGATCCATGAATGGGGCAATGGTAGGAGACAAGCCTCGAGCTGTGTCAGCCCAACTATTGATGAAATGAAGAGCGGCTGTGCCATCTGCTAAAGTATGCTGCAACCCTACGCCTAGACTAATCCCACCGCATTTGAAAGTAGTTACCTGTTAAAATGTGCATAAAACAAGTCAACATCTTATTAATGTTGAAAAAGGCCAAATGAATGTATGAAACTTGCTGAGTTTTGTCCTTAGCTCATGGCTTTTTGATTGAAGAATGTTTACTATATATACCTGCAAAACAAGAAGCGGATATGAAGATATTCCTTCAGAATAGTCGACCGTGGGAACTAATCGGGAAACTTCAGAGTTATCAGTAAAATCACCAACAAATTGATCCATAACTGAGGTAGATTCAGCCTCTATGAATAAAACTCCTTCTGCATTACATATTATTTCAAGTCTTCCATTTTGATCCAATCCCAACCTTCCAGCTATCGGGTAAAATGGCACAAGAATCTTGCTTAAAGCCTCTTTAAGCTTTCCAGGGTCAAAGAAATTAGAACTACCATTTGGCTTGTAGTAGTATACTGTAGGGATGTGGTATCTTGTCGTCAACAGGTCCAAATTGGAGTTCCATAGACTTCCTTTCGGAGTGTCTTGAGCAGGATGAACAATTGTAGATTCCTTTACAGTAATCTCCATCCTGAATTTCACTACCTAACATTCAATGAGTTAGTGACATGCATAAACTTTCACTTACAGTATAATTGAGAAAAGGAAAAAGAAGAAAAAATGACAGGAAATGGAATGGAATGGGTAAATAAACACATGGAATTCGTATCCATACCTTATCAGAGTAGAAACAAGTGTTGGTACAATAACCAAGGTAGAAGTGTTCAAATTGCACAAGGATGCTGAGGTTTTTTTTCCTTCTGCTTTGTAAAATGGTGAGGGAAGGTTTAAAGCGGCAGGCTATGGAGTGATTGATGTTTTAATTATGAAGTTCTGGGTAAGGTCCATCTCTATGGCTATTTGTAATGTTAAGCTTATTCCAATTCATGTACCACAATAAATGCGTATCAGAAACAGATTTTTTATTTATTAGGGTAGGTGGGCTATAAAGACCGTTTTAATTGTAAGGGTATTACTTAGATTTGGTCATTTAAATATTTATATTTATTTTATATTAATAATATAAATATAAAATTATTATATTATAATTTATGTTGAACACGACAAATGTAATGATGAAGTATTTTTTTTTTAATTTATTAGGGCCAGTGGGCTATGAATTATTTTTTATTTTTTATTGTTATTAAATTTATATGTAATTTTTATTAAAAAGTTAAATAATATTATTTTTGTATTTTTTATATCGCAGAGGGCCCCTGTTAACAACACTGTACGTTTAACCAGTGAGGTTGATAGTACCACATCCTTTGCACGTTTCAGAGGTGCTAGAAGGGCCCGTGCTTGAAACAATTATTAAATATCGATGTTTGTGTTTTTCCATGGCTCCAAAAGTAAATTGCGGAGGGCCCCTGTTAACAACACTGTATGTTTTGATTTGTACAAGGGCAAGGTCATGCGGGTGGGATTTGATCCGAGTATTGTCAAGTCTAAGATCGTTGAGGAAAAGCAACCAGAAACACTTGATTTTTCTTAGTGTTCCAATTATAATCCTAGCAACCAAATCTACTCTCTGTATATTTATACATAGTCTTAAAATAAAAAAAATTATAAATATTAAAAGCCAATCTTTAAATTTACTGAATAGTATTATTCTTTAAAATTATTATAATAATATAAATCAAATGAACTTAATTTCAAAATTTTTTTATTAACAACAAGCAATTTCTATAAGGTTAACCCCATTTCTCGGAATCCTAACTATATACATTATCAAGTATACAAAGATAATTATCCATCTCACTTCAAGTACTTTTCTAAGTATATTATATTTATTTTTGATAGCACACGAGTTTAATTTGTGCAAGATATTCCAGCTTCTCTTGTAAAATCTTTTAAACATTGAAATCGTCAGATGCACAAACCCATATTATTCTACTAAAGTATTCTTGTATTTGCTCATGTTTGCAAACTAATGTTGCTGATGCTGTTTTTCCAAGACCTGGTATCCCCAGTATTGATAAAACAATGAGGGCATGTGGGCAAGTTGAGTTAGGGTTTATTTGGATGAATGATAAGATTAAAAATAATAGTGGAGTTGAAATTAATTATTATATCGATGAGATTAAGATTAATGATGTGATATGTATTTGGATATAAAATAAAGAGTTAAAAAACTTGATAGCTTAGATAAAATTTTAAAAATCAAAATAAGAAATTAGCACTAATATTTTTTGTTAGCTGTTATTGAACACCTAAAAAAAATTATTTTTTTAATAAAATCTTAAAATTAATTAAAATTTATTAAAAGATAAGTTTTTGTTTAAAAAAAGAAAAATTACGTTTAAAAGTATGATTACGGATGAAAAAAGATTAATACTTTACCGTGTTCATTTTAAAAATAGTACCAATTGATCTCATGTTATCTTTTCGTATTGATAAGAATGGTCTTAATTTTAATATTCAAAATAATTCCTTAATTTTTTTTTTCGCGAAATCCATTTAAGACATTTTGTTTAGAAATAAATAAAAAATCATTAGTTTAAATTTTTTTTTTGAATTTCCCAATATTTAGACAAAGTTTCAAAAAATATTTCTCTATTTGGGAATCTTATAATAACCCTTAAAATCTAGCATAATATTATTTTATAATAAATAATTATTGAAAAATCTTCCAACATCTAATTAGGATCCCAAGAATTATTTTTATTTAAGAATATTAGCTTTTATTTCTAGTTAAAATGTTTTTCCAAGCCACCATTTACAACTTTACTTTTTTTTATACTAATAAAATGCAAATGATGCAACATGGAGCAAATGGATGATGCAAACATAAATTAAAAGAAGTAAATATCCAATGTAATTTAATCTTATAAATTTTTAATTTTAATTTTTTTATTTTTCATCATTTTATTTTTAAAAAATTATGTTAAGAGAAATTTTATTTGTTTATTTGTTTTTTTTTTTTTTGTATTGGAAAATTTTCTTTAATTTCCCAATATCTAGGCATAATTCAAGAAAATTAAACTTCCCTTAAAAAATTTTAATACTTAATTTTTGGTAAAAATGAAAACGATATTCCTTAGTAAAAATATGATTTGAATTCCCTTTAGTATCTAGACAGAATGTGTATAATATTTTTTTGAAATATTATTCTATATATTTTTTTTAAATTGAGATTTTGCTATTCCAAATTTATTATTAATGCATAAAATGCATAAATAACAATATGAACATAAATTAAATGGTGCATGTAATTTGTCATACTTGAACCTTACTAATATAATAAATTAAAACCCTCATTTGCCTTTGCCTAAAGGCATGCAGGAAGTCTGTATCGGCATATTTTTTGTTATCAATAATAAAATGATAAATATAATGAATTTTTACTTCACATTTTTGTCCATTTTCTTTTTCTTTGTTCTTTCTTAGCATACATTTTTTTTTTTGTTTCTGCTAATATATCCACTTGTATCTTTGTGATTTTACTTGTTTTTAAGTTTTTAAATAATGAACATTATGGATGATAATGACAATAATTTTGGGTTTGATTTCAAAAACTTTATTCACATTGACAAGGATAATAATGATAAAGATTTGGAAGAGTATACCTTACCTTTTGTTTTTTTAAGATTAATAAAACAAGAAAAGAAATTGATAAAACCCCATCAAAAGGCTACAAACACGATCAATTTAAGAGATGAAAAAAAATAAAAAAGAAGTAGGGGTTGATGTTTAACTTTCGTCTCCTAAAAGGCAAAAGTTAGAGAAAGAGTATATGAACATATTTGTGTGGTTGTATCAGGATAGGCGAAGGCTCAACATGGATATTGTAGAGCACATAGACTACCTTTAAAGCTAGAATGCAAGTTTAATCCAACAAAAGTTGAGGTGCATGAAACCAAAAATGTTATTGAAAATTATAAAGGAAGTAAAAATGCAGTTTGACACTAGCTTTTAGGGGTAGCCACCATAGTCTCAGTTCTGAAAAAGGATAAAAAAGTAAAAATATGCATAAAAGTACTAGATTTGACTAGAGCTAAATCAAAAGATAATTTTTCGTTACCTTATATTGATACCTTTGTAGATGGCACTATTAAACACTTAATGTTCTTTTTCATAAATGGCTTTTATGGTTATAACGAAATCAAAATAACTCAAGATGATATGGAGAAAACTACATTTGTGACAATGTAGGGTACATTTTATGAAAAGATTATGCCTTTTAGGTTGAAAAATACTAGTACTATAAATCAAAGAGCAATAATAACTTTTTTCACGATATGATGCATAAAAAGATAAAGGTGTACATTGGCGATGTGATAGCAAAGTCACATAAGGGATATGACCATGTTGCTAACCTTAAAAAGCTTTTCGAAAGGTTAGAACATACCAACTCAAGCTAAATCTAACTAAGTGTACATTTAGGGTCAAGTTATAAAAATTATTAAGATTTGTAGTTAGCAAATTAAAAAAGGAATTGAAGTGGACCCAGACAAGATTTGTACCATTAAAAGCTTGTCTTATTTGTATGTACAAAAATGAAGTAAAAGGTTTTTTGGGAAGGCTAAATTATATCTCTTGCTTTATCTTTCAACTCATCTCAAAATGTGATCCTATTTTTAAGTTGCTTTGAAAAAGTAACTAGGTAAATGGAATAAAGAAGCTAGAATGTCTTTGAAAGAATTAGAGAGTACTTGCCAAATTTACTGATGTTGGTACCACCTATTGTAGGGAAACCCTTGATTTTGTATTAATGATTCATAAGAACTCTATAGGGTGTGTGTTGGGATAAAAAGATGAATATGACAAAAAAAAGTAAGTCATTTACTATCTAAACAAAAAGTTCATTGAGTAAAGCAGCCAACTATTCCTAGTAAGAAAAGACGTTTTGTGTATTGGTATGAACTGCTGATAAGCTCAGGCAATCTATAATTTTTCATATGATCTGGCTTGTGTTAGAGTTGAATCCTCTCAAGTACATTTTTGAAAATTTATTTCTATCAAAAAGAATATCAAGATTACAGATTATACTTGTCATGCCATAAATCAGAAGATTTTGAATATAACAACATCGCATACTCGTGAGATGAATCTCACAAGCATGCAAGGCAACGGATATCAAATTAAATCAAAATCTTCAATAATCTCTAAAATAATACTTTACAGAATCTCAAGTTTACAAAATCATACCTTTTGCAAGTTGGTTGAATATACTAAAGTTCTTACTAACAAATCTTTTAGAATCAATAATAAAATACTCACTTTAAAAGCAATTGTCATAACTATTGGTCCAGAGGCTCGATCGCTAGATGTAAATATTTAAAAATCATGTAAAATACGAAGAGTTGCCACTGATCTTTTTTAGAGTGTGATTGGCTACCTAAAATTTTATCTTTTTAATAAAACAATAAAATAGTTTAAAGCTTTATTAAAAAGAAAATTTTTGTCTGTGAAATCAAAATTAGGTTTAGGAGTCAGTTTACTTATGGAGAAGGATTAGCACCCTTATAACACCCATAAATTGGTACCAATTAATTATGCGCTATTTATACTTTTAGAGAAAAATGATTTTTGTATGAAATTTAATTATAATTCCCTTTGTTTGTAAGAAAAAAAAATCTTTATTTAGGAATGTCATGAAAATATTCAAATTAAAGCAATACCTTCAAAGTCCCCAACAATAAAGGTAGAATTTAAAGATAGTCTTTTCATTTTAAGATTTACTATAACATTCCTTCTAAAAATAATAAAATAACATTCTTTATAAATGATAATTATTAATGACTCTCCAACATCTAGGCAGAGTACCAATTAATTATATTTCATGAAATGCTATTTTAATTTTATTTATTGGAAACTAAAAAAAAAAATTAAAGAAAACTTTTGATGAAATAAGAAAATGGATTATAATATAATTAAAATTAAACATCCATAAC